AAGTACCTGTTGCACGTGAAAATATGGCTTTGTTAGACAGTGGTGGTCGTATCATGGATACACAATATGGTGCTACTACACCTCGTATTACACCAATGCGTGAAATGCGTACACCACAAGTAAATACTTGTCATTTTTAATGATGTTCAAAAATTTGTTTTTCTTATATTTCAGTTTAACAACATAATATGTGTCTAATTTAAACTATAACAAAGAGAGATTCAATCGTGATTCAAAGATTAAATAACAGTTCTGTTGAAATCAGCCCCCAAATGCCCTGGTACGGCCGAGGGTGGGGAGAGTCCGCTTTCCCTCTCGAAATGCTCTCATATGGCCACACGTATACAGCCTCTGCCAGGGAAGTACTACTCACTGCCTTCTCGTGGCGGGGGTGTTGTTTACGAAAATGAGAGGACGAAAAGCGAATGTCCGGCGCTTCAACCGGATTCCAAACCAATGGTGCACATGGGCTCCAGTATCCTGAGGGAACAAATATTGTATGAACCAACCGTTGGTCACCGGCTTCCATGGGACTGCATCTCCTTACGATGCTCCACTGCCTTGTGGATCAGACCTTCAGGTCGAAGGCTCGGGTTGTGGCCCCCTAAGAAAACTACGTGCTTCAGTTTGGGCACCCGGGCAGTATCACAGCCCTCACACATATCGGATGAGATTTGTGTGGCGCATATGTATTTGGTGCCTCTTTGTACCATTATCTGTGTTGAAATAAATAAATAATAATCTGTTGAAATCAGAACCGCAGAAGAACCAACAGATAAATATTTCGATGATATTACTCTCCATATTGTCATATATATATATATATATATATATATATATATATATATATATATATATATATATATAGCGAGAAGATCATTTAAACAAAAAAATATTTCCTTCCTCAATTTGTGTATGAAATAGAAATTTCACACATGTAATTGTAAAAGAATTTTTCCAGGTTTGTGAGCATTAAGGTACTTAATCATAGATAAATATCCATATCGGGAATCAATCTCAGCTGGGGTACTACTAAAAACCTGAGAGTTTTAGACAGTCGCCTTGAGTCTTTAGAATGGGATTCCCTCAGCAGTGAATACCCATGATCCTACCATGGGTTGGACCCCTCCCAGGTATCATGACAAGGATGTGATTCTTCCCAAGTGTCACTAACCCAGTTGCCCGAACAACTTATTATTAAACATAAACTATGTTCTTTCTTAAAATTAGTTCCCTCAGATTTATCATAAAAATCACAGTAGTAATCTTTTTTTTCTGTTCAGTTACCTTTCTTCACATATGTAGTCAACAGTTCTACTAAAGATTATATCAGTGAATGATGATATGACATCTAGAGTTAACTTATCGATAACACTTATATTTCTAATGCATATAACAGTGTATAATCATTAGTTCACTTTCTTGATTGGCAGAAAACTTATTCCATTTTCAATGTTACTTACTTTTCGTTATATCTTTTCTATCCATTAAATAACAGTTGGCATATGGTGCTCAAACACCACATGCAGCAAGTACAACTCCTCGTGGTGACAGTACCCCCTTACCGAGTGCATTTAATGCTGGCATGGCTACACCAAAAATTAGTAATCTTGATGAACCCATGACTCCAAGTTCTAGTAAGTTTTGTCTTATGCATTTTACCCAGAATCTTTTTATATTAGCAACTTATTATTAAAATTTATGATTTCCCGTTGATCATTTTCGTGGCATTACATTGATTGCTGAATACGATACATGTTCATCATACTTAAATTATCAAAATAAAACGGTGTTTATACGTAAGATTCCACAAATCGGCAAATAAAATCTGAAGTTGACAGGAATTCGAAGACAGGGTTTACAAACCAAATGATGATAGTTACCAAGAAGTGCTAAATAAATGTCTTAATTTTCAGGGGCTTCATAGTATTTTTTCTATTTACTATTCATTTCGAATTTCTTAATCCCAACTTTATTTTGCCTTTATCGCGTGATAAGGTTTTCTAATTTCATAATTTTAGTCATGAGTTTACATTAGTTCTAATATAATATACCGTGGATTTTACTTGACACTATGTCTGTCTTTGTGGCTTTATGTTCAGAGTAACTGATTTACAGTTATTGGGTTACATGTTTGAACCACCTACTTCAGTTTAAACAGACAGATAATGTCATTAGATCTCACATACATAAAATATGTGCATCAAGTCCGAATGAATTCATTCTGACCTGATTAATAAGTCATATTCTTTTGTTTATAGGCTTTCTGTGGACTTCAAGTGATCTTCATCGTATGTCAAGTTCAAGTACCCATTCATTGTCTGATACTGAATAGATACAGAATTAATGATACTTCAAAATACTAAGAATCAAATAATAACTTATTCGTTTCAAATTCATTCAGTCTGTGATGAAATGTGAATAACTGGAATGACCACAATGAACGGGATGTATACACATAAAAAAAAAATTGAAAAACCATTTGTGTCTTTTTTTTATTGTGGCCTTTCTGTGTCTGTTTTTTGTACCGTTGTGATTAAATGCAATGAGGTTGTGTATATTACCATGTTACAAATTCATGGGTGGTGGGAGGTCGTCATAAATACTCATGTAAATAAGCAATGTATTAACCTCAGTACTGACAATCGTTCGTTTAAATGCAACTAATCTAAGTAATTTATATGTAAATTCTTTTCATCGATGACATTCTGAGTCGTTAACAGCAATGAAATGTAGAATATATATATTTCTTAGACTTATTTGAATAACAATAAGTTTTATTGTTTACAATGGAAACTTGAACCCAGCACCCATTACTTTGATAGGCTGATTCACTAGAATACTATACAGAGTTGACTGTTTTCGAAATGGCTACCAGTTATTAATAGAGCTAGTAAAATTTTAGTCCGAAAGCAGCACAACTCAAAAGGATCTCTAGTTCTGGCAGTAATTTTCAAGACATTTTGCTAATCAACGATTCTTTGCAGCCATAGAGTAGGTATTGTCCTCTGATGTCACTGTATTTTAATGAAACATAAGGCAACAAAGAGGATCAATCGTATTTTGTGTGAATTCTCGCTTCATTAACACAATCTGTTCTTGCATTCATATCGATTCACTTTGCCATATTACTTTTGTTTGTACGGAAAACAAAACGAAAATATTATAGAGAGTCTTCTACTATCAATTCCGATAATGGTTAACGTTTGTTGAGCCCTTTTATTAACCCATTTAACAGACAATGTTATTCGGACATTAACAATCTGTCTATTCCTTTGTTCTATTATGATCACTAGCTTGTCAGTATAAATGTGTACGCTTGATCGCATGTGACAGCCTACGCATATATTTCTCTCTGGCTTAAAAATATGGCTCGATGAATCATTATCTTCCCCATGTATATATGTACTTGAATCCTATTAATGGCCTATTCTGCGCTTTTATGCAATTTGACTACAAATTTACCTCTGTATTCGCTCGCGCATAAATATTAGTCTCTGTTCAAAATCCGCTCGGTGTGCTTGTAGCTTTGTTATGTTTGTTATCTGTTAACAAACTGTAGTCGCCGCTTCTGATTCCAAACACCGTTAGGATTTTTATTTTATTTATTTATTTAAATACATAAACATTGGTACAATGAGGCACCAAATAGATATGCGCCACATAAATAATTCGATTTGTGTGAGGGCTGGGATATACTCTGCCCGGGTGCCCAAACCGTTGAGAATTATATAATAACGGTTATCAAGATGATTAATTAACGAAGCTAAACCACTTATCGACTTAGAATACGCAGATGACATAGTCCTGTTTGGTGAAGACGCTGACAGAATGCAGTCTTTTGCTAGCACTAAGCAACAATCCCAGAATGTTTGGAATGCGCTTCTCTCCCTCTAAATGCAAGTTGTTGCTTCAGGACTGGTCTGCGTTAACACCTGAACTAAGGATAGGGAGTGAAGTAGTCGAACGCGTTGACAACTTCACTTATCTTGGAAGTCTGATCAGCCCTAATGGGTTGGTATTTGACGAAATCTCAGCACGGATTCGAAAAGCTCGCTTGGCTTTCGCCAACTTGCGCCACCTATGGCGAAGGCGAGATATCCGTCTATCAATAAAAGGACGAGTATACTGCGCGGCAGTGCGTTCTGTTTTAATTTACGGCAGCGAAACATGGCCATTAAGAGTAGAAGACAGTCGTAAGCTACTAGTATTTGACCACAGATGCCTCAGAAATATTGCTGGCGTCTACTGGGATCACCGGATAAGTAATAGTGAGGTTAGACGCAGGATATTAGGGAATGATGGTAAATCAGTTGATAAGGTTATGAATCTTCATCGACTGAGATGGGTGGGCCACGTGTTACGTATGCCTGAACACCGATTACCACGACGTGCAATGCTAACCGGTGTTCGGGATGGTTGGAAGAAAGTTAGGGGCGGCCAAACCAAAACGTGGCATCAGTGCTTGAAGTCACTAACTTCTAGTCTGAGCCATGTTGGTAGATGCAGTCAACTTGGTTGGGGTCCGCGTGACTATCGTAACCAATAGTTGGAGACTCTTGGTGACATGGCTCAGAATTGATCACAATAGCGTCGGTGTATACACTCCCTGTCTTCCCTTAAATTTAGAGATTAAAATCGCTTCACATATTTCGTTGCAGGATATCGAGAGAAACAACTAGATTAAAGTTTTAAATAATATGAATTCATACTATTCTGCATCAATGTTTGTTCTTGCTCTATTTAAATTCATAAAGGGAACTAATTGCATGAAATCACATATTTCTTTCTATGAGCTAATTCTTTCTTCCTGTACTATATTCTTATTACAATCTTTCTTTTATATATTACTACCATTGAATTAACTACTTTTATGAATCCGGTGTCCATCTTGTTGTGTTAATGAGGTATGGCAACTTGGACCGATGCATATATGTGCCTGGTCCTACGTTGTAGCTGACTGACTGACTGACTGACTACAATATAGATAGAAATATTATGAAGGAACTACATAATTTATAAATCGAGTTCATAACTGACGAACCTTTGGAAACCAAGGTACCCTAGGATAACTTCAATACAATAAGTACATTTTTCGGTTTGTTTATATTAGATGTTACTTTTTTTAGAATTTAACCCATTACTCAAAACAGACAACTTAAAATAAAATATAACAAATGGAAAGCTATTTGATTATCGTTAAGTCAATGATTGTTCCAGTAAGAAAATATCCTCTTATTCTATCCACATTAGAGATTTATTCACATTCAAACTGTACATAAATTTGTTTGAGTAATTCTTTATCAAGTGAATTATCATTCTGTAAATTTTTAATAAATTTAATTATATTTACACGTTCTGATCCATCAATCATCATCCAAGCAATATCAAATCTTGGCAATTTTGATAAAAATAATAAACGATCTACAATGTGTTGATTTGTTAATTGATCTGAAAGATAAAATGCTTGTAGCATACGTGATAAGAAATCACTTTCCATATTTTCACCGAATAATTTCACATAATGAACTGGTTGAATATTACACAAATAAATGATTGCTTCTTTACTAAGGTTTGACTGATAGTTAGATGAAGAATTTCTTTGGCATAATTCACGTAGTTCACGTTCTAACTGAAACCAATTTGATGGTGGTTTATGTAAGTTCATATTTAACAATGGAATTTGTCGTTTAAAATTATGATCACTTCCAGGATTAATCGTTTCACTGGTTGGTACTATTGACGTTGACGTACTGGAGGATCTATTCCGAGATTTCAAACGATCTGATGTCTGTGAAGTCGAATACAAAACATTCTCATTTTTTGATTGATTTTTATTCAAAATAGAACACTTGTTATTATTTGAGACGGAATTATCATTATTAGTACACACAGATTTTGTACTATTCTGCACAGGTGTACTCAATATTTGTTTATTATGATTATCATCATCGACTTCAATGATTGGTATTCGTCTCATTTTTCTCGGATTACTCGACTGAATTGAACTACAAGACACGGTGGAATTAGATATGTGTGCAATTTTCTTTTTACCAATTAAAGCTTCGAGCTCATTTATGGCAGTTTTATTATCTGAATCGAATCTAAGCAATTCTTTTAAATCTTCAATTGCTCCAGTAATATGACCCAAACCTTTTCGAGCAAGTGCTCTTCTAAGAAATACAATTTAATACATAAATAATAAATAAAGCTTAATATGACACAGTATTGTAAGCAGCCTGTACTAAAATGTCGATGTAGATTTTTGTGCTTGTTATTACTGATCAACCAAATATGTGACCTGAACATCAAATAGAAACTTCATATCAAAACTCAATTCTATATTTCTTATTAGTGATACAGTGTTTCGGTTACCTAATGTTGTTATCTTAACATTATATATAGAATGTCAGTTTTAAAACACTAACACAATTTAATCCACTAATGTTACATGGATGATACTTTCTGATGAATGCCAAAAACACGAGTCTTGATATTCGCAAAAATTATTGCCTAATTTATTTAGTTCAATATCAGATCACGTAGTTTAGTAACAACGTTGTACTTCTTGATCGATACACGGATATGTCAACCAGCATGTCAGTTACCGTTACGATATATCTAATTAAGTGAGTATTGTAAAAAGTAGAAAGTTAACTCAGCGAAAATTAAAATCTTATGAACTACATGATTTTTTTGTGTTAGTTATGAGTTCTTAGAAAAGCATGTAATTGGAAACTCATAAATACTTCCGATGTTTCTATTCACTACATGCTTTCAATTCTAAATTTCAACACTACGTAGTAAGCTTAAAGTCTGACAATGGTCTTTAGACGTAGGTTAAGTAGATATATAGAGTAATTAAGTAGGGAAAAAGGTTATGAAATGTTGAAGGAATCAGTTTATATGCTTCCTATGTGTATTTAGTAAACTATCAAGTAAATGGTATTTTTATATTATCCTAATAGGAGGCTTTCATTCAACTTACTGACTGTTGAGACATCCTTTTGCTGGTTATAAACTACCAGTAATTAATCATAACTCTTACTCACCTTATTATCACAAATGTCACAGCTATTTACCAATTAAGATTTATTATTTATGGAGCTTTGTACTCTAGTATGTATATTACGTAATTAGGGGTCTTTTTGAATCGACTAATACAATCACACGAAGAACACAAGGTACCTGGATGGTTTTTCTGATGTTCTGACTGTTAGGTTCAGGAATGAGCGAACTTCAAGTGATCTATCAACAGTTGACGCATAAAGCAACTGATTCAGTGGGCAAAGGTAATACACAGATTGCAGAGGGCAGGTGGTTGAAGTAAAATGGCAGGAAGTTCCGAACTCAGGTTCCGTCTCAGTCACCACTAGTCAACAGGATGATTTTGGAATTCTAAGATAATTGATGCTCCCGCAGGACTCACAGTCATAGATATCATCACACTACAACTTGATTAATAGAATTCGATTAGCAATAAGGATTAGACACAATGACATTGGCTATAATCAAACTATTAATTGATATGAATAAATATCAGTTTAAACTTCATTTCCAAATTATGAGTTGAATGTCTACCTAACTGAAATAAAACCCTACAAATTATATAACGGTTAAACAAATTTTATCGAATTTTATATTTCAGCACGGTAATCCTACTTTAAGTTGAAGATATTAATAATAATCCAAGCAAGTACTTACCGATAAAATGCTTTAACAGAAGTTCTGTCTAGTCTTAAAGCAGCTGTGCAATCGGCTTCAGCTGATGCATAACGTTCTGTTTTAATATAAGCAAATGCACGATTTATATATGGGATAGAATCTTCAGGTGCAAGTCGTATGGCCATAGTGTAATGTTCAATAGCTTCATTTAGTTTACCTTCCTATTTGTTTATGAAACAAAAATGTGTATATAAAAGTTTTATTTTGAAAGAATATAAATGGATAAACCTTTAAACAGACATTACTGAATGTTATCTCATTGGTTACCCCACACTGAATCTATTACTTCATGAGATATGCTTGTTGATTAGATCTGTGTTTTTTTAATTTACAATTTTGAAGTGGAAATCGAAAGGGATATAAATGAAAGTGGTGAAATATTAATAACACGATGAGAAAGAGACAGGTTAATCTGAACAGCGAGAAGCGTTTATACAAGCACTCATGGATTTAAATTTAATATATTTGAGCAGAAAGTTGAACAAAGTTGTTATTGGCTTAAGTTTTCATTAAATGATAGTAAAAACAATTGGCACTCAATACATCGAGTTACGCAGTAAACTGACTACCTCTACTTTTTCCAAATTATTACAACTACATCAAACACGTATAGATGTGAATGATAATCATGTTAGAGACATTTAGGTTGTTGTTACAAGATGATTTTGTTTATAGTGTAACAATCTCCATTAGACCTGGACTTATCACTAATTACACAAAGCTGGGTGATGAGTCCAAGGACTAATACGGAGATAATGATGACCAGACACACAGTCAAAAAGCATAATTGACTTGAATGGATGAGATTTTGCCACACAACAAAACTTCGTGGTTTTGAAGTGTTAAAATTCCAAACTGCGACACTTATGCTAAAAAAAACATAAAGGGTGGTTTAGATTGATGTATGTCGCTTCGGTTTGCGCAATATTGAAACTTATTTCGTCCCCTATAAACTGCTTCCACATTTGAAGGCAAATCGAAAAAAAACTAATACTAGATTACTCACTAATTATGGTGGTTTTGTACTCAATTAGTTAAACGGTTTAATCATTAAGGCTACATTGACTTTAGAGACAAGGTTTTTGAAGTCTTATTGTTTTACTTTCACTCAAAGCAGAGTGCATATCCAAACATAACCTATCTCGATGAACGATGGTGGGCGGCTTAGCAGTACGTTAAAAAAGTTAGGGGTGAACAAGTTAATATTTGACAATAGTCCATGAATTTATTGGCTCCTAATTTTAACCATCTTGGCAGCTGCTGACTACTTGATCAGGGTCCTCGTGAGAGCCGCAGTCGATCTTTGGAGATGTTGAGTGACGCGACTTAGAGTCATTTGTAATGGTGAAGATTCATTCGCTTTTCTTCTAACTCTAAGTCTGTAATTATTTGATAATTTTATTCAGCAAAATTATTCTTTCTTGCCGAATCGAGTTCTTAATATTTGATTATCTTACTATCACTGCTACTACTATTACTAATACTGCAATACCCCTCCAGATAATTCCATCTAGTTGTGCTTATGTTGTGTAGAGAATCGGGTTGATGCAAATCTATACTAGATTCCTTATTGCTTATGATTAAAGCACTGATTAGTAGCTGAGCGTGTGACAAAAAATATAGTGTATTATGACACATCTTGACGATTGGTTATAGAATTAGCAGTGCATACAGTTTTTATCCCTACTTAGTAAACTTTTATTTTTTCACTCAGGAAATACTTCGGATTTTTTCAGCTTTTCATGTAAACCATGGCTACTGAAATACATCCTCAATGCAGATCACGGGATGTTTTAATTTTGGTGCATAGAATACTAAGAAAGGGTTTCCGGTTTCATATACCTCTTCTTCTTTCAACTAAATCAGAACAATTCAAGGGATATAGCAGGCTAGTTCAAATACCAAGATAAAACAAAATACCCGCGACAAACAGGCTTCCTCGCTGAATGAAAAACTCTAGGGACTTACTACCGAAAGATATGGTATACACACTTTAAACTGACTCATTCAAGAGATTATTCACGCACAGCAGCTTACTAGAAAAGGAATAATAAATGCCCTGAGCCTTCTATCCTTGAAATATAATTTGAATCTGAGATCTCATGATAAGCTTAATATTAGTGAAATCAAATCTTAACATTTATTCTGTGAAAAAAAGATATAATTACACTAACTTTAAAACGAACATTGCCTAGTTCACGAGCTTCTTTAGATAACTGAATTCTTCTCTGATCCTCTTGTTCTTCATCCGTTTCACTACTGCAATCTTGGTCATTAGGAGAAGTGGAGTTTCTATCAACATCACGATTATCATTATGTTCATCATCATCTAAGGCCTGCTTAGCACTAAATTTATCCCAAGCACGATAATCATATGATTTGATTCGTTCAACCTTTTTATTGTTAACACTTTGTTTAACTGCTTTCTAAAATTATTAAAGTGATTTTTTGGAAAGAAAAATATCAGACACTCCTGGCATAGTTTTACCTTTTTATGCTTTTTTAGTAGACTATTACGAATAGCCGGCAACTCCGGTTGACATGTGCTCTCTAATTGTTTGCTTTTTGATCCAACTGTTTCCTTCCATGCTTCAAAATCATTTAGGAAATTTTCTACTTCTAAATTATTTTCACGCATTTGCATTTGGAAATTTAAAAACTTCTCGGGATCCATATCAGCTTAGTAACTTTAAATGAATAATCAGACAAATAAATCAGACCTAACTAAAAAAAAAATACAAAAGGTAAATGATCACACTTCGACAAGGAATATTGTTTAAGCATAAAGTTGTTAACAACCATATGTAAATATTGTAGTATATTAGTGCGTTATAGACAGAGCTTATCAAGATAAAAATGCAACATCAAACTTAACACATAATTTTTAGATATAAGAGAGGAGAATTTCCTGCTGTGGATACTAAAAATATCACAAAAATGAATTGCTGGTTTGACCTAATTATAGAATTGTTGATTGAAGTCTTTAATATACAAAAAATCAATAGTTGGGTAACTTCATTACTTTGTGCTGAAAAATAAATCAGGTTTGTTTATTTAAAGATGGTTTAATGTTACCTATTACAAACTTTTAAAATTTTGTTTTATTTGACGTATAATAACGTAATTTAGATATATGTAATCTGCTTCAAGGGGTACTGTCTGTATGAGGCCTAACGATACTGTCGATTTGTCTAATCCATAGATGATGTTGGATTTGAACATGGGATTTATGAGATGAAAGAGCTATGTTGATAAATAACAGATCACCTTCCATACAGAGTAATAAGACTAGTATTTAGAACCAATGCTTTTGTGAAAACATATCTCATGCAAGTATTTGCTGAATGATTTGATACAGATTATTTGCGTAGAGACTGCCAATTAGTCAACAGTTGACACATGAAACACAATCTCCGTATTAAGTGATTAAACCAGAATTATTAATTTCCATGAAACTCGGAAAAAACTTTATATAGATGACAAGATATAACAACCGAATCAATCTTGAAAGATAAACAAATGTGAAATGATCATCTTTTATTCTGGAATGTGAGAGTTACAATAGACTACTAGTATCTTCTAATCGATATCGTGAAACCCAGCAGTCAACGTTGTGACAATATCGTGGAAATACTTATGTAAGTTTCGTATTTGAGTAATGAACTAGTTGTTTGAACACAATACTATGGATGAAGCTTAACGTAAGTACCGCAAAAACACCCGACAATGTTTTCCCAAGTCTTTTAAGTAACCACAATGCTTAGAATTCCTTGTTGGTAAATGTATTATGATGCTTTGTGGTAATCACATCATATTACGAAGACACTTCTAATTTATTTGGTTAGAAAACATGAATTGTTATGCTATCATGACTATGATATTCGACAGTAAAAATACTAGAATTTGTTTGTAAGTTTTATTTTCAAAAGGTCGAGTTTAGGTTGTAGCTAAGAGACGTCTTTGTAGGTGTAAATTACCACTTAAATTTCTAGATCAATAAATGTTAATACCAATGATCAAAGTATTTTCAGAAAACCATAGGAACACAGTAGATGAAGAGAAGACCAACATCGGTTAGCACTTTATCACATAAGTGGCCAATAGCTACTCTGACAATAAGTATGTTTTGAACAAGTACGACATGAATAGGAGTCTTATAGACGTAGAACTAGCATGCTGTGATTTCCCAAGTGTATATAATAACCATTCTTTAGCCTTATCCATGTCTCGAACGTATTATCATTCCATATATTTTATTAGTCGCTTTGACTAATTCTAATGGCTTCTAGTTCTTTGGTTCCGGAGATACTATTGCTTTTATAAATTAAGATTTTCATTCCTTTGTGTTAGTGCGAACGATTATAACTTACGTCATATTTTTGTTAAAAAAGTTCGCAGCCGTAAGGGCTGCGAAAGGTGGCCATTAAGAGTAGAAGATACTCATAAGCTACTAGTATTTGACCACAGATGTCTTAGAAATATTGCCAACATCTACTGGGATAATCGGGTAAGTAATAGTGAGGTTAGACGCAGGGTATTTTGGAATGATGAGGTTATAAAACTTGATCGACTGAGATGGTTCGGCTACGTGATGCGTATGCCTGAACACCGAGTACCATGACACGCAATGATGACTAGTGTTAGAAACGGTTGGAAGAAGGTTAGGGGCGGCCAAACCAAAACATGACACCAGTCCATAGAGTCGCTAACTTCTGGTCTGAGCCATGTTGGTAGATGCAGTCCACTTGGTTGGGGCCCACACGATTATCGTAACCAATGGTGACTGTGTGACATGGCTTAGAATCGATCACAACGGTGTAGATGTATACACTCTTCGTCTTCCCTTAAACCATGAGATCAAAATTACTTTATAAATGAAGTGTGGCAACTTGGACCGATGTACATATGTGTCTGGTCCTACGTTTTAGCTGACTGAATGACTCCTATAGAACTAGTGGACTACTCAACGTTTCCTTCTAACAAACTATAACAAAAACTTTAATTAATTATGTTGATCTCCATATAAATGATCGTGGGAAATTGTTATTATGCTAAACCAACCTTACACTTCCAGGTTGAAGAGGAAACGCAGCATAACAACTACAAAAAATTGTAACACAAAACATGCGCAGAACTACTGTGTTTTTTTTCAACACATAAATATTGGTACAAGAACTACTGTTGCTTACAGACAATGTCCCAAAACGTTATATCGATGACTGAAAAGCATATTACTCAACAAAATCCCTTTATACATAAAAGGAATAGAGATATTGCAATTCGCATTAAACCTCCCTAAAATTCAAGTGCTCCAAAAAACAAATCAAGTGTTAGATACAGATGTCCTGAGTGTCATACTTGGCCTAGTTTTACGGTCCAATAGCGCTCTCGTTGAAAATTCACTTCTTATCAGTAATAGCGAAAGAAACAAGGATTTGAACCGAAGACAAGTTTAGACTTTGTTCTTGTAGTAAACGGGTCTCTTTAATCATCAGTAAACTTGGAGCATACTAGAAAAAGTGATGTATGTGACTTTAATTTTCATATTGCAGAGGAAACTACAAAAACAGAAGCGTACCAAGAAAGAGAAAACATAGACTTTCGGTTCTATTTCCTCCAAACACAAATCCGAAACTGACCGGAACGTTTAGACTTTTCTGCTTTATTTTATCCCGAGATTAGGACAAGCCTTTGATATTTGTTACAAAAGTTCGATTAGGTTGACAAACCAATTGTTATTATTAATGAATATATATGAAGTACTCAAAAACAACTGGAAAGTGTTAAGCTTGATGACATAAACTTTTGTGAAGAGCACCATAGTTATTGTGATCATTCGGAAAGACTCGGATAAAAGTGATACGAACTGCCAACACCAGAACCAATTTCTCATTTAAACTACCTGTGCGCTATGGACATTAGAATAATCTAATACAATTGGACATTACAGTTGATTATATTTTATTGTTCCCTGAGTATAAGTTGATACATTTTTCCTAGGGCAATAGATTGGTTGGAGGCAGCAGCAGTTGTCTGCAAATATTCTGTATTGAACTTCCTACTATGAGTACACATTCCGATATCGACTGACTGTTACAATATTAATTTTGTAGGCGGTTACAAATGAAAAAAATTTCATAGAAGTTCAAAATACACAAATAATTACACGAATGAAATAGACTAACACATGCTTTTGAGAATTTTAAAACGTACGTGTTCAAAATGTAAAAAAAATGCTTTCCGATAAATATGATATGTGAGTAGACTTTGTACAAGCCAACTGAATCCTCTACATCTAAGCCTTCATGTTTGCAGATAACCAACAATCTAGTGGCGCATATAACTTTAGAAACCCCGCATTAGGTCTATTGCTGTAACCAACAGTTATAGTCTACAGTAAGAAGTATAAAAAGTTGAACAACTTAAATTATTCCTATTGACTAATGATACCCTCATAATCTGATCTAAGTAATAATGCAATAAGTAGTGATGTCAATTATAATACCGCGCTGGTTTCAAAAAGGGCAGTGGTTTTTGTACTTGTCGTGATAATTCTTGCTTTGTGTACTTGTTGCACCAAAAAGCATTCTTGGTCTTCTTTAACTAAGAGCACTTTGGTTAACGTTTGTAATTTTTTGCTCAACTTTGTCCTGTGGTACCTTTTTTTTACTCCTTGAATGACACTAGTGTTCACACTGATAATTTTGTGTTTTAAACCATTTTAATCAAAATTTGAATGGTTGGCAAGACTCATAAATGTAGACAACCAAGTTGTTTGTTCCCCTTTTGAGGAAGGGATGCAGTGCGATGATTGTAAAAAGTGGTATCATAAGATGCGTACACGCCTAAGCCCTATGGCATACAAAAGATGCTCGAAGCCTGACTCACACTGGCTTTGTATGTCATGATCTTAAGACAACGACCCATTGTCGAGGGGTCTCAGCTAAGGGGTTTCCAACCTTCTGGGCTTTAAAACGGATATTCATCAAGTTAGATACTACCATGTTCACCACAGTATACACATCCTTTGTGAGAACTAAGCTTGAGAACTGCATTCAGGCTGCAAGCCCCTGTTTAAAAGGTGACCCGGATATCTTAGAAAAATTACAGAGGGCAGCTACCAGTGCGATTCCAGAATTCTAGGGTACACCATAGAGTGAGCGACTTGAAAAGCTGAACCACTTTACTCTGTCCTATGGCAGATTAAGGGAATATCTAATTTTCATGTACAGAATACTGAAAAATGATTTTGGACCTCACTTATTCTCTTTTTCTTCCCACAAGATCGAGACATCTCAGAGGACATAGCAGGTGAGTAGAAAAGCCAAGAAAGAACAAAATACCCGTGGCACACAGGTTTTCACACCGAGTCATCAATACTTGGAACCCGCTGCCCGAAGCAGTGGTGTCCGCACCTTCAATTGACTTTTCGAAGACTGGACACTCACAGAAGTATACTAGAAAAGAAATAACATAGGCCGTAGTCGTTCTGTCCATACTACCCAAATCTGAATCTTATGTACATCTGGGCAGAAAACTTCAATTTTTTGTTCAAACAGTTCGAATGCTTGTAAATGGAATAAAAATAATTTCGCTTAAGGTTCGTAGCACATGTCTCATCCATCAGAGTCTGGATTTATAGATAGTGAAACTAATTTGGTTATCTTTAATGTGCACGAATACACTTAACTGAACCACTACATTACTAGTTTCAGTTTCAGTTTAGAATAGACCTAAGGCTTGACGGCCTGCGTTGGTCCTGGCAGTGACTGTCTCTCAGTTGATCCAACCTTCTTCTGAAAGGGTCGACGGATGGGTCCTCGTGTTGAGGTAATGAGTTTCACTCCTGGATGATTCGATGGGAAAGTCGATAGTCATCTGACAAGTAATTTGACTCATACATAGGTGTGCACAATAAGGCGACGTTCGACAGATACCCTTCAAGGAAATCAAAGAGTATTCAAGCTGACTTTTGAGCCTGTTAAACTGCGAGAGGATAAAGTAGCTCAAGCGTCCAAAACGACGTATCCGAAATTCAATCGTCTACTCGCTTTGATGGTGGATGCTTCAGAAAAAGCATTACGTGGTATTCTTAAAATCTTCGCAGTGCTAAAATATTATAGCTCAAGTATACATTCACTTGCTTATTTCGTATAGGCATTATACTTCCCACTATTTTATACTGAATAGTGAAAATTTTCGCGTTTGAAAAAAGTAACTTTGCGCTCCAAATATGTTGCCCTACGATCAAAATAAAACCTGCTCACCGCTAGTTTGGTCTCCCTTATCGATAAAATGGGGTCTCAAGCAGCACGATAAACTTGTCCAACTTCATCTAATCGCCGTTACTTTACAATTCTGTTGAAGACAGTACTTTTACACTTTTGATACAAATACGATCACTTTTGTGGCTTATTGTCCGATGATTTTTCCGTGGGAATCTCGAAGAATCAATACGATCAAAACAACCGCATTCATATTAGAGCCATCTACGACACTACAGATGCAGATATCAAAGAAGAGTTGTATACGTATCTGTGCCTAAAAAAGCTTGATTTGCGGTTCTAAAACCAACTGAAATATCGAATACTTAATCTTTTCTTGAAAGAATTAAATAAATCTTAGTTTTTCGAAATATGAGTATTGAAAACCAAACAAAGGCCTTCATTATGAAAAGGTTTGAGTCAGGGTGTTAAACAGTTTTGCATGACCACATTAGAACTATGGAAATAGCGTTTCCTCCCTCTCTCCGGAGAAATAACAATACACCGAAACGTAACCAACGGCGAGCCACGAAACCGGTTTACGGATTCAAATTCAAACCTTATAAAGAGCGTCGTAAACCAGTGAAACTACACATTTGATTATGGGCGTCTCAGTTGTGAAATTCTAATGACTTATGGCATTCTCAACACTCTTGGACAATCCTTAAATACCCATTTGGGCTCAGCCCCAAACAAAAAAATAGGGTGACACTCAGAAATTAGAAATACAACATAGCACAACGAACTATAGGCACATCTTGTACTCCTTAAGAGTAGAATTCGCTGCGGACTGTGCAAGTGCGATTGGTTTCCCAGGAGTCCTCTTGGAGGAAACCTGATTTATTCTTAAGAATTAAGGACAGCATTTCGCTACAGTTTACAACCAGTTCTTTTTTTGCCATTATGTATACGTAGGTTCCGACCCGGAGCCATCAGTTATCGAATGCCGCTAGATGCGAAATCCCGGAGAACAAAGGCTTCTTTTATTCTGTCCAGAACCACTCAATTTATTTAAACCATTTGATATTGCTATGTTCTATCTCCAGCTGAGGCATGGAACAAGTCGGCTACTCAGAGTGGAAGCGATTTTGTAATAGCATTTGTATTAAGCAGTACCTACTTGAATAAAGTTACCTGGGCCATACTTACAGTATAACGAACGTACATTTATAAATTTGGGTTGTTTCTTCTATATACAAATAGAATTTTCCCATTGTCATAAGTGAACCTGATTGTAGTCGACTCTAACAATAGTTAGCGATGTGACCTTGTTATTGTTTATATTCGTAAAATGTAATAAACAAACGAAGGGAATCTTTTTAAATGTTTCTTAACACGGATGTTACAATTCGCCTGTGTTTTTCATGTATTCCTCGGAATAAGTCTTATTCACTCTCAGAGTAGGTTGTAACGTGTTGGCCTCTTGGAATTACAGTCTGTGACTCTCCACATACTTGATAGGTTTACCTGTTTTTTTCAATGTTTATAAATATATTTTTAGACGTAGCTGTGTAAAATACTTACTGTTATCCAATCAATTACAAATAATACATCAACTCTAAACTTCATGCAGGGATTGACGATAAAAACTAAATGATCAGCCAGGATTCTGAGTTCCTCTGTTTCAAGACCATAGAAAAACCTTATACATTTTTACTGGTCAAATATAATTTTTACTGCTGCTAAGAAATTGAAGGTTTATTTTTGCGTTATTTATCTAGCAAGCATTGCCAATAATCTTCAAGTTGCTATTTTCTTGTAGAGTGTATTACAGCACGGGTACTCCTTGAAAAGTTAACGGAAGCAGAATCTCCTAGAAATAAACATCTTTATTTAAGACGACTATAACAAATGTATTCACATTTGTTTGATAGTAAGTGTGTAGTAAGGGCTATAATATAGGTGTTTTTAGCAGGGACGTACATCTGACAAGTTCCAAACCACTTTGGTTCAAAGTGATTTTGGGAACTTATTACCTTGAAAACCATCTCAAGTAACAAAGTATTGAAAAGCTGTTTCATAATAGTTTTAGAATCTTTAAAAGTATCCACCGCTATGATGAACAGTTTTGCTAGTGTTTCTGAAAGTGATGTAGATCACCAACGTAGATGATCTATGTCGAAATGATTGGAGGCCTACTCGAGTTAGACGTGAATAGTGTGACGAACCAACTAACGTCGAAGTCACACCTCGTGGTCAGCACCTTACGTGGACTACCCCCATTGACGTAACAAGGTACTATAGATGCTTTGAAGACTGTACAACACAAAGGACGTTATTACAGAAATATATTAGTTAAAGTAGATACAGGCGAAAGTAAGACCACTGCCGCATGGGCCAGTCCATGGCGTATGATTAACTAATGCGCGTTGCTTGTACATGACCTTGGCAGGGAGCGATGATCTGTTCGACATTCAGTGATCCAACTGCCGGATGATTTGGCTAGGGCTCAGTGACATTTCACTGGCCCTACAGTGAAATCCCTTCTCACTATAAATTCCATCTAGGTTGGGGATAATCTACTACTAATGGGTTCATTTATTATATATTTTTTCACTGAAAAGGTTACATGAAAACTCGACTAATGCAAAAATTGTTTACAGACAAACACTCATGTTCAATGTTGGCAGAAAAAGTCACACTCCATCGCAAAATCATTAGTGTTCTGATAAAGTCTGAAGTTTGTCAGTTTTCTTTGTCATGTTCTTCAGTGTAGACATCAAACAGAGTTCTTAGATCTTGTTCGGAATTCCTTTTTGTAGTTTCATGGTTTTTGTCGGGTCTCAGGTCAATGAAGATAATTCGATTCCTTATACATCAATTATTTGACTTTCAGTCATAAATATGATCTTGTTGTTCACTTTTAGCAACAGTAAGATGGTGTTCAGTATCACCTGAAGAAGAAATCAAGTGCAACCGCCTTAGTTCAGTGATTCAATCCACTACTACGATTTCAAACAAATATAATTTAACCTGTATTCTCGGATCAGATGAATTTAATTGTATGAAGTTGATCAATGAAAAGCAGGCTGATTTAATGAATTTGGATGTTGGTCTGGCATATTATGGCAGCTCATTGTACAGTTTACGTCCTATTGCTGTAGAAAACTATGCAATAAGCAATGCACCTAATGCAAGAAACCTGTACTATTATGCGGTCATGGTTAAGCCAATCAGTATAAGTATAGATCCTACAAATTTAAGGGGCAAAGAAATTTGTTCAGCCGGTAAACTGATTTTATTTTGAC